GAGAGAGAGAGAGAGAGAGAGAGAGAGAGAGAGAGAGAGAGAGAGAGAGAGAGAGAGAGAGAAGAGAGAAACAGACAAACAAGACAAAGAAAAACAGACAGGAAAGACGAGAAAGAGCAGTAATTTTCAGGTGGCAAATAGATAAATAAAGAAATGAAAATATTATCACAGATAACAAATAAGAATAGTAAATATTTTTAAAGGGAGGGAAGAGAATTATCAGGGGAAAGCGACCAAGCCATTACGACTATATAGCCCTTAGAAAAGGGTCAGGATGTTATGGGATTTGGGATGGGACGGGGAGAAAGGAATGGTAGTATGTAGTACTGAGTACATACATCGCTACGAGGAAGGGGAGCTGGGATATGGGGACAAGGCGCTGGGATATGAAGACAAGGAACTGGGATATGAAGACAAGGAACTGGGATATGAAGACAAGGAACTGGGATATGAAGACAAGGAGCTGGGATATGAAGACAAGGAGCTGGGATATGAGGACAAGGAACTTGGAATACGAGGACAAGGAGCTGGGATACGATAACCAGAAGCTGGGATATGAAGACAAGGAACTGGGATATGAGGACAAGGAGTTGGGATACGATAACAAGGAGCTGGGATATCAAGACAAGGAGATGGGATATGAAGATGGAGTGAAAGAATAGTGTTGAACCACATGGGGCCACTGACGATCGCTGGCTGACCCAGCAAGGAGCAAGTAGGTACCTTACCGTACCGAACAGTAAGAAAATATTATTGGCATCAGAGACGACGTAATCAAGCGCCTAAAAGCCGCACTGTAAGCTCCGAGAAGTAGGAGCTTACATGGAGCTCCGTGTAAGCTCCGATAAACAAGGAGCGCCTCTGTTGGCGCTCTCTCATAGAGCAAATAACAAGCTTAAGCTCTATTGGTGGCTCAGTTGGTAGAGCTGCCGGCTGCTGCTTTTATGGTATGGGGTTCGAGGTTACTATGGTCGATGGGAATTGCATTGTTATTATCCATGGCAAAGTGGTACCCTATAAAAGGCCTAAAGTTCCAGTTGGATAGCAGATAGGTGTCTCTGGAATCCTTCCTATTATGGGTTCCTTGTGGCTCAGTTGGTAGAAAATATATATATATATATATATATATATATATATATATATATATATATATATATATATATATATATATATATATATATATATATATATATATATATATATATATATATATATATATATATATATATATATATATATATATATATATATATATATATATATATATATTATTTGCTGTGCCCAATGCAGCCCTGGGAACTGGATATATATATATATATATATATATATATATATATATATATATATATATATATATATATATATATATATATATATATATATATATATATATATATATATATTTTTTTTTTTTTATTTGCTGTGCCCAATGCAGCCCGAACATAAGGTGCATCTGCGGAACTGCGATGGCAGACCAATATGGTCGTCATGGTCTGGTATGTCGTAAATCACAGGGTAAAATCGCAAGACATGAAGAAGTCAACGACATCATCAAGAGGAGCCTCGCCACAGCCCGCTGCCCGGCACAAAGAGAACCACACTTATCCAGACCTAACGACCCTCAGAAGCGCCCTGATGGGGTCACCTTGCTACCTTGGAAGGATGGTAAGCAAGTGGTATGGGACTACACGTGCGCTGCCACACTGGCCAGTACCTACCTCCACTACAGCACACGTGAAAGCGGTGGTGCTGCTTCTTTCAGGGAATCGCAGAAAATTATTAAATACAGAGGTCTAGCACACTGCTACAGCTTTGTTCCGATCGGCTCGGAGACCCTCGGTTCGTGGGGAAAATGTGCATTGAAGTTCCTGAAGGAATTGGGGGACAAATTGATCAGCGCTACAAAAGACCAGAGAGCAAAAAGTTTCTTGTTCCAGCGCCTCAGTGTTGCGATTCAGAGGGGAAATGCCTGTTGCGTCTTGGGCACTAGTCCAACTTCAGAGGAATTCGAAGAAGTGTTTGACTTGCAACAATGATCGAACCCGTCTGTGACATTCATCAATGTTTCCCATTGTTGTGTTTTTCAAGAGATCCATAACCTTTAAGCACCTTTTTGCATTATTATTTTTGTATCAACCCATGTATATCTTGTAACCATCAAATGCATAATAAAGCACAAAATATATATATATATATATATATATATGCAACAATGATCACAAAAAATTGGGTGAAAAAAGAGGGTGAAATTATGAGCTTGAATTATGAGGGTGAAAATATATATATATATATATATATATATATATATATATATATATATATATATATATATATATATATATATATATATATATATATATATATATAGTAGGAATATATAAACAAAACTAACAACAATGCAAGAACAATTGTTTTAAAAAAATAATCCGTAGGTTATCTATGTGTGTAGTTTGAGCTTGAATTATGAGGGTGAAATTATTAGTTGTTGTTGCCCAAGCGTTCTGACGCGGCAACTTTGTAAGTCAAATGTAACACTTCTCTATTATTTACATCCATCAGTTTCTCACACCGTATGTGTTCACACGTACATACAAATATGTAGTCGCCTAGTTGTGCATGCGGGGATTGAGCTTTGGCTCTTTGGTCCGGTCTCTCAACTGCCAATCAGTTTAAAAGGGTGTTGATCAAACCACACACTAGAAAGTGAAGGGACGACGACGTTTCGGTCCGTCCTGGACCATTCTCAAGTCTATTGCGACCATTCTCATTCTCCCAATCGACTTGAGAATGGTCCAGGACAGACCGAAACGACGTCGTCCCTTCACTTTGTAGTGTGTAGCCTGGTCAACGTATTTCAGTCCCATTATTGTGACTCCTTGTCTTTAAAAGGGTGTTGGAAAATATCTTCATGTTCTGGGCCTGGATGTCAGCGGCTTACTGACTCGACCCCATATCCCGCATCTCAGGTAGGTTCACCTGTAAGCTCTGAGACACTCAGGTGTCCGCATCCCTCTTCACTGTAGGTTTAGAGTTATTTCTATAGGTATAGTGGAGATTAAGTTTCTCATCCAACAAGGGTGTACACCAGCTGTTTGAGCACAGCCCAGCTGGGCTCTATGTGAGCACCAGCAGCTGGCATTCCCAGCCAAGATGCCAGGATGAAGCTGCCGTATACTGTCGTCTCTCAATCTGACAACATTTAGGCGTTATGTTGACTTCCAGTGAGGGATTGGGTGCTGTATCCTGAGGCCTGTCTTCCCTATGGACTGTTATACATTCAACTAAGTGCCAGTTTAAGCTTCAGAATCATCAGCCGGTTATTGGTTCCATTCGGTAGACTGGAGAGTGTATTCACTAGACGGATTTGGTCAGCAAATCCAGTACTCAGTTCGCGGCGTTCATCCAAGCTTTATCCACTCCAGGAAGGTGTAACTACCTCCAGCTTCAGCCAGTTGACCCTCGTCTGCCAGACGGGTCTCGTTCACGACTGCAAATTTGGCCTTATAGCTGACAAGCTCCTTGACACTCACCTACTGGCCAACACACAACATAACGGTCCTTATGATTCCCTTGTTACAACTTGTAATAGAGGTGTTACATCTTGTTATAACGTTTTTATGACGTATGAGAACGTTGTTGCAACGTGATATATTGGTCTTTGCAACTGTTAGGTGTTAATCCTTCTTTGAAAGTTGAGGCAACGTCGCAGTTTCGTCGTGTGCTGGCCGGGAGCCCTGGAAACACAAACCGAAACTGTCTCTATTTTCCGCTTGTTACAACTTGTAATAAAGTTGTTACATCTTGGCTTAACGTGTTTATGACGTATTAGAACGTTGTTACAACTTGCTTTATTGGTTGTTATAACTGGTTAGGTGCTAAAACTTGTTCCAACGTTGTACCAACGTCGTAGTTTAGTCGTGTATTGGGCATGAGGGCAGTCCTCGTGTACAGACCGTCGGCTCCTGCACCAGTCATGAGAGAGTGTATATCCAACACTCCAAGAGAGAATATTCCTTCTATTACATAGAAATATCCCATTAACGTGATATATCAACGAACAAAATCCACAAAAGCTTTGTTGAGGGTTCGAACCTTGGCGCTGGGTGTTCTTAGATGCGCTCTAGTCGACTTATTCTTTTGTTAGTGTTGATATTCCTTCTATTCTTTACATTCCGATGGCATAAATGGGATTACCTCCAGCCACGATAAGCCGGGCGGGATATGTGAAGCAGGCCGTTAGTAGCAGTAAAATAGGTACCTGGGAGTTAGTCAGCTGTCACGGGCTGCTTCCTGGGGGTGGAGGCCTGGTTGAAGACCGGGCCGCGGGGACACTAAAGCCCCAAAATCATCTCAAGATAACCTCAAGATAACCTCAAGGCCTTTTTAAAGCAACTTTTCTAGCCCCTTGAAGCAGAAATCACAAACGCCAGCGGATCCAGCCAAATATCCAGTGACACTCCAACCTTTTCCATGCCCAACCACTTGGGCTGGACGGTAGAGCGACGGTCTCGCTTCATGCAGGTCGGCGTTCAATCCCCGATCGTCCACAAGTGGTTGGGGCACCATTCCTTTCCCCCCGTCCCATCCCAAATACTTATCCTGACCCCTTCCAAATGCTATATAGTCGTAATGGCTTGGTGCTTTCTCCCTGTTAATTATCTCTCTAGCCAACCTCTTCCCACTCGACTAAGATGTGTAACTAGATTTACAATTTTGTTACAATTTGATTTACATATATTGATTTACAATTTTGTACTCAGGCGATGAGTCACAATAACGTGGCTAAAGTAAGTTGACCAGACCACACACTAGAAGGTGAAAGGACGACGACGTTTCGGTCCGTCCTGGACCATTCTCAAGTCGACTTGAGAATGGTCCAGACGGACCGAAACGTCGTCGTCCCTTCACCTTCTAGTGTGTGGTCTGGTCAACTCAATTGTGTACTCTAATACATCAAGCAATAGTTCTTCTCCTCAGACATCTGCCGATTTTTCAAGCGATTAAAAAATACAATAAATCTTCGTTGGTATTTGATCAATATCGAGGATAGAGGTGGAGAGTGGCAAGGCGTTCAAGCCGAGAGCGTTACTACCGTTGTTCGGGGCGTTCAAGCCGAGAGCGTTACTACCGTTGTTCGGGGCGTTCCAGCCGAGAGCGTTACTACCGTTGTTCGGGGCGTTCAAGCCGAGAGCGTTACTACCGTTGTTCGGGGCGTTCAAGCCGAGAGCGTTACTACCGTTGTTCGGGGCGTTCCAGCCGAGAGCGTTACTACCGTTGTTCGGGGCGTTCCAGCCGAGAGCGTTACTACCGTTGTTCGGGGCGTTCAAGCCGAGAGCGTTACTACCGTTGTTCGGGGCGTTCCAGCCGAGAGCGTTACTACCGTTGTTCGGGGCGTTCCAGCCGAGAGCGTTACTACCGTTGTTCGGGGCGTTCAAGCCGAGAGCGTTACTACCGTTGTTCGGGGCGTTCAAGCCGAGAGCGTTACTACCGTTGTTCGGGGCGTTCAAGCCGAGAGCGTTACTACCGTTGTTCGGGGCGTTCAAGCCGAGAGCGTTACTACCGTTGTTCGGGGCGTTCAAGCCGAGAGCGTTACTACCGTTGTTCGGGGCGTTCAAGCCGAGAGCGTTACTACCGTTGTTCGGGGCGTTCAAGTCGAGAGCGTTACTACCGTTGTTCGGGGCGTTCCAGCCGAGAGCGTTACTACCGTTGTTCGGGGCGTTCCAGCCGAGAGCGTTACTACCGTTGTTCGGGGCGTTCAAGCCGAGAGCGTTACTACCGTTGTTCGGGGCGTTCAAGCCGAGAGCGTTACTACCGTTGTTCGGGGCGTTCAAGCCGAGAGCGTTACTACCGTTGTTCGGGGCGTTCAAGCCGAGAGCGTTACTACCGTTGTTCGGGGCGTTCAAGCCGAGAGCGTTACTACCGTTGTTCGGGGCGTTCAAGCCGAGAGCGTTACTACCGTTGTTCGGGGCGTTCAAGCCGAGAGCGTTACTACCGTTGTTCGGGGCGTTCAAGCCGAGAGCGTTACTACCGTTGTTCGGGGCGTTCCAGCCGAGAGCGTTACTACCGTTGTTCGGGGCGTTCCAGCCGAGAGCGTTACTACCGTTGTTCGGGGCGTTCAAGCCGAGAGCGTTACTACCGTTGTTCGGGGCGTTCAAGCCGAGAGCGTTACTACCGTTGTTCGGGGCGTTCAAGCCGAGAGCGTTACTACCGTTGTTCGGGGCGTTCAAGCCGAGAGCGTTACTACCGTTGTTCGGGGCGTTCAAGCCGAGAGCGTTACTACCGTTGTTCGGGGCGTTCAAGCCGAGAGCGTTACTACCGTTGTTCGGGGCGTTCAAGCCGAGAGCGTTACTACCGTTGTTCGGGGCGTTCAAGCCGAGAGCGTTACTACCGTTGTTCGGGGCGTTACCTGAGCCTGATAATTACCCACCTGTGGGAACACCTACAGTGGCTGCCAGGTGCACCACCTCCACCCAGCCAACACCTCCACTACACCGTTTATATAGTGTCCGTTGACCGTTATTGTGAACAACGGTTGTAGCTGGGAACGGTAGTGTGTGTGTGTGTGTGTGTGTGTGTGTGTGTGTGTGTGTGTGTGTGTGTGTGTGTGTGTGTGTGTGTGTGTGTGTGTGTGTGTGTGTGTGTGTGTGTGTGTGTGTGTGTGTGTGTGTGTGTGTGTGTGTGTGTGTGTGTGTGTGTGTGTGTGTGTGTGTGTGTGTGTGTGTGTGTGTGTGTGTGTGTGTGCGTGTGTGTGTGTACTAGAGTGTGTGTGGGTGTACTAGAGTGTGTGTGGGTGTACTAGAGTGTGTGTGGGTGTAATAGAGTGTGTGTGGGTGTACTAGAGTGTGTGTGGGTGTAATAGAGTGTGTGTGGGTGCACTAGAGTGTGTGTGGGTACTAGAGTGTGTGTGTACTAGAGTGTGTGTGTATGGGTACTAGAGTGTGTGTGTGGGTACTAGAGTGTGTGTGGGTGTACTAGAGTGTGTGTGTGTGGGTACTAGAGTGTGTGTGGGTGTACTAGAGTGTGTGTGGGTGTACTAGAGTGTGTGTGGGTGTAATAGAGTGTGTGTGGGTGCACTAGAGTGTGTGTGGGTACTAGAGTGTGTGTGTACTAGAGTGTGTGTGTATGGGTACTAGAGTGTGTGTGTGGGTACTAGAGTGTGTGTGGGTGTACTAGAGTGTGTGTGGGTGTACTAGAGTGTGTGTGGGTGTAATAGAGTGTGTGTGGGTGCACTAGAGTGTGTGTGGGTACTAGAGTGTGTGTGTACTAGAGTGTGTGTGTGGGTACTGGAGTGTGTGTGTGTGGGTACTAGAGTGTGTGTGTGTGGGTGTACTAGAGTGTGTGTGTGGGCACTAGAGTGTGTGTGTGGGTACTAGAGTGTGTGTGTATGGGTGTACTAGAGTGTGTGTGTGGGCACTAGAGTGTGTGTGTGGGTACTAGAGTGTGTGTGGGTGTACTAGTGTGTGTGTGTGGGTGTACTAGAGTGTGTGTGGATACTAGAGTGTGTGTGGGTGTACTAGAGAGTGTGTGTGTGGGTACTAGACTGTGTGTGTGGGTACTAGAGAGTGTGTGTGGGTATCAGAGTGTGTGTGTGGGTACTAGTGTGTGTGTGTGTGGGGGTACTAGACTGTGTGTGTGGGTACTAGAGTGTGTGTGTGGGTACTAGAGTGTGTGTGTGGGTAGTAGACTGTGTGTGTGGGTACTAGAGTGTGTGTGTGGGTACTAGAGTGTGTGTGTGGGTACTAGAGTGTGTGTGTGGGTACTAGAGTGTGTGTGTGGGTACTAGAGTGTGTGTGTGGGTAGTAGACTGTGTGTGTGGGTACTAGAGTGTGTGTGTGGGTACTAGACTGTGTGTGTGGGTACTAGAGTGTGTGTGTGGGTACTAGAGTGAGTGGGGGTGTTATCTTGAGGTTATCTTGAGATGATTTCTGGGCTTTTTAGTGTCCCCGCGGCCCGGTCCAATTGTGCAATGTTTGAGAGATGCAATGTTCCCTCTGCAACTCACTATCAATAATGTGAAACGTTATCTTTAAAAAAAATACACGCAGTTATAACACATTAATTCGTATATATATATTTAACAACTAAACGACAGCTTGTAGCCTCGTTAAATGAATTACAACTATCATAAGCCCGAAATGTTATAAACAATTTAAGTGAACTAAGACTGAAGCAAACAGTTGTAAATACAACACGACTGTAAACAAAGGCAGGAGCTGAACAACAGTTGTAACTACCCAATTATAACACACATTAAAGGCACTTGGAAATTAATTGTTGACAATATTGTTGTTCATGAACTCACCACAACAACAAGTATACAATCACTTCCATTCAACAAATACAATATATATATATATATATATATATATATATATATATATATATATATATATATATATATATATATATATATATAAACAGGTCAATACCAACACTGACTTCATCAACTCCCAACAGACACATATATATACCAGTTATCTTTATCGATATCTGTGTTAAAGAAATAATTGAAATATGATATCACATTGGTCTGATCGCACTCGCCCTTGAATCCTCCCGAGTGCATGAAGGTTAAGTGCATAAGTCGGCGCATGAGATAGCAAGAGCGCGCATGCTGTAAGAGCTTGGAAGAGCTGAGCAAACATCACGTAAGTGTAAGTTTAACAGTCATCAGCAGTTAAGTAAATAACTTAATAAAGAGATGAAGTAGGTAGGTAAATAATAAAGTGTATCCGCACACGAATTAGCTTCCAAGTTACACTTATAAATGAGTTAATGAGTCAAAATCTGCTACTTTATCAGCATTAAGTTGATAGTTGTCGAGATTCACTTCTGTGGAACAAGGTGATGCTGTTATCACTCTGAATAGCATGTCTCATATGCTGAGAGATAAGGTGCTGCCTGCACTCTCTAAATAGCATGTGTCTCTCACGCTGAGAGATAAGGTGCTGCCTGCACTCTAAATAGCATGTCTCATATGCTGAGAGAAAAGGTGCTGCCTGCACTCTAAATAGCATGTCTCATATGCTGAGAGATAAGGTGCTGCCTGCACTCTCTAAATAGCATGTCTCTCACGCTGAGAGATAAGGTGCTGCCTGCACTCTCTAAATAGCATGTCTCTCACGCTGAGAGATAAGGTGCTGCCTGCACTCTAAATAGCATGTCTCATATGCTGAGAGATAAGGTGCTGCCTGCACTCTAAATAGCATGTCTCATATGCTGAGAGATAAGGTGCTGCATGCCTGCACTCTAAATAGCATGTCTCATATGCTGAGAGATAAGGTGCTGCCTGCACTCTCTAAATAGCATGTCTCTCACGCTGAGAGATAAGGTGCTGCCTGCACTCTCTAAATGGCATGTCTCTCACGCTGAGAGATAAGGTGCTGCCTGCACTTTCTAAATAGCATGTCTCTCACGATGAGAGATAAGGTGCTGCCTGCACTTTCTAAATAGCATGTCTCATACGCTGAGAGATAAGGTGCTGCCTGCACATTCTAAATAGCATGTCTCATACGCTGAGAGATAAGGTATTGCCTGCACTCTCTAAATAGCATGTCTCTCACGCTGAGAGATAAGGTGCTGCCTGCACTCTCTAAATAGCATGTCTCATACGCTGAGAGATAAGGTGCTGCCTGCACTTTCTAAATAGCATGTCTCATACGCTGAGAGATAAGGTGCTGCCTGCACACTCTAAATAGCATGTCTCATACGCTGAGAGATAAGGTATTGCCTGCACTCTCTAAATAGCATGTCTCTCACGCTGAGAGATAAGGTGCTGCCTGCACTCTCTGAATAGCATGTCTCATATGCTGAGAGATAAGGTGCTGCCTGCACTCTCTAAATAGCATGTCTCATACGCTGAGAGATAAGGTATTGCCTGCACTCTCTAAATAGCATGTCTCTCACGCTGAGAGATAAGGTGCTGCCTGCACTCTCTAAATAACATGTCTCATACGCTGAGAGATAAGGTGCTGCCTGCACTCTCTAAATAGCATGTCTCATACGCTGAGAGATAAGGTGCTGCCTGCACACTCTAAATAGCATGTCTCTTACGCTGAGAGATAAGGTGCTGCCTGCACTCTCTAAATAGCATGTCTCATACGCTGAGAGATAAGGTGCTGCCTGCACACTCTAAATAGCATGTCTCATACGCTGAGAGATAAGGTGCTGCCTGCACTCTCTAAATAGCATGTCTCATACGCTGAGAGATAAGGTGCTGCCTGCACACTCTAAATAGCATGTCTCTCACGCTGAGAGGTGCTGCCTGGTCCGGTAGTTTCATGTCAGCGTTCAGACATAAATTTAGTTTTATGAATTTCCGCCTCAGAGCTGATGGTCTTATCTTGTCCGTTACTGCCCAGTCCTACAACAGTAGCGTCCTGCAACAGTAGCGTCCTACAACAGTAGCGTCCTGCAACAGTAGCGTCCTGCAACAGTAGCGTCCTGCAACAGTAGCGTCCTACAACAGTAGCGTCCTGCAACAGTAGCGTCCTGCAACACTAGCGTCCTACAACACTAGCGTCCTACAACAGTAGCGTCCTACAACAGTAGCGTCCTACAACAGTAGCGTCCTACAACACTAGCGTCCTACAACAGTAGCGTCCTACAACAGTAGCGTCCTACAACAGTAGCGTCCTACAACACTAGCGTCCTACAACAGTAGCGTCCTACAACAGTAGCGTCCTACAACAGTAGCGTCCTACAACAGTAGCGTCCTGCAACAGTAGCGTCCTGCAACAGTAGCGTCCTACAACACTAGCGTCCTACAACAGTAGCGTCCTACAACAGTAGCGTCCTACAACAGTAGCGTCCTGCAACAGTAGCGTCCAACATCAGTAGCGTCCTGCAACAGTAGCATCCTACAACAGTAGCGTCCTGCAACAGTAGCGTCCTACAACAGCAGCGTCCTACAACACTAGCGTCCTACAACAGTAGCGTCCTACAACAGTAGCGTCCTACAACACTAGCGTCCTGCAACAGTAGCGTCCTGCAACAGTAGCGTCCTACAACACTAGCGTCCTACAACAGTAGCGTCCTACAACAGTAGCGTCCTACAACAGTAGCGTCCTGCAACAGTAGCGTCCAACATCAGTAGCGTCCTGCAACAGTAGCATCCTACAACAGTAGCGTCCTGCAACAGTAGCGTCCTACAACAGTAGCGTCCTACAACACTAGCGTCCTACAACAGTAGCGTCCTACAACAGTAGCGTCCTACAACAGTAGGGTCCTACAACAGTAGCGTCCTACAACAGTAGCGTCCTACAACAGTAGCGTCCTACAACAGTAGCGTCCTACAACAGTAGCGTCCTACAACAGTAGCGTCCTACAACAGTAGCGTCCTACAACAGTAGCGTCCTACAACAGAAGCACCATACAACAGAAGC